TAGGGGGAGGCAGCAGGAAACATGACTGTGAATCAGCTGCCTGATAAAACAGCCAGGATGGAGCCCACGTCATTGTGGGTCTCAACAATGTCACTGAAAACATCAGCTGCTTATTCCAGTATGGATTTCCCTTTAAGACATGAAAGGAGAGTTCAAAGAGAATGAGCTAGATGGCTCAGAAAGTCACATTATTAAAATATATTTGTTTTTATTAGCTTTTTTGCTTCAGTGAGAGTTACACTCTCATTAACATTATACCAAAAACTCACTTTTCACTAATTACTCCTAGTTTATCCTCTGAATCCAGGGTGCACAGGATTATGTTCAAAATACAGTAGTAAAGCTGTATTTCTTACAGCATTCAAGATGTCTAAATTTAAATCAATTCAATTCAGTAAACACTTACTGCGTCCTTTTCACGAGAAAACACTCTTCCAGAGACTACAGTGAACAAGAATGGCCCTTGACCTCTGATAACTTACTGTCTCTAGAGCTTTGATGACCAAAGCAATAACCTGTGGCAACATGTGGCTAAATTTTAATTAAAGAAAAAATTCAGTGCCTCAGATGCGCTAGACATTTTCAAGTGCTCAATAGCTTTTTTGGGTTACTGGCCACCATATTGGATAGGGCAGATATAGAACATTTCCACCATGTGGCAAGTTCTGCTGTACAGTGCTGCTCTGCTGGACAGGGGCAAGAGATCCTCCTGTTTGGGAATTCTCTTGCCCTGACTTTGTAGAGTAAGTGTGGCTTACTCTTAGAGGAACGTGTGGAAACAGCACTACCCTTCAGGCTTGATGTTTGAAGACACAGATTCAGATTCTGCTCCTGACCTGTATTGATCTTGGGCAAGGCCCTTTGCCCTTCTGGTGCCAGTTTCCTCTTCAGTAAAGCAAGGACATCAGACCACAAAACCTCTATGACTCCTTCTGTCCAAATGCCCTGTGATACTGTGAGTGAATTTGTAGAATAGTCTGTGTGTCACAGTGTACCACAGCTAAACTATGATGAATTCCATCTCCCAAAATAATTTTTTCATCTTAGAAATTTAATTTCAAATTCACCTTAATTGTCAATACTAAAATTCTATATACGCAGACCTAAACTTGCTAAACTGATTTATTTATTAATTTATTTTTATTGTTTTTTTTTAAAGATTTTTTAAAGTCATCTCTATACCCCACATGGGGCTCAAACTTATGACCCCAAGATCAAATAGTTGTATGCCCTACCAACTGAGCCAGCCAGATGCCACCCAAACTGATTTTTTTTAATGAGATTATTTTATTACATTTTTATTGGACAGGGTCTCCCCAGAGGAAACTTAAATGTGTTTCTTTTTCTTTCCTTTTTTAATGTACTCTAGCAGTTTAGTTTTGATGCTTCCTTGCCCAAGCAGGTTGTCAGTTCTCTGTCCCCGTAGGGTGCTTTTAAGTACTGACCAGGGCTAGGAGTCACACCCTTGGTCTTAGACTGTGGTGAAAATCTATATTCCCCGCCACCACCCCCCCCCAAAAAAAAGGTAATCATAAAATACCAAACCCTGTGTTAGTTCCATCCAGAAAAAATAAACACATGTTTAGGACTTTCAGTGTCATGAGGTACTAAGTCCTTTAGTGCTATGCTGGGCAATGCCTGTTTGCAAAAGAATAGCTGGGTCAAGAAAATTTCCTATTTTTTTAATTCTGTGATATATGACTATACTTGTGTGTGTGTGTGTGTGTGTTTTTTTTAACATGTTACTTGTTTTTGAGAGAGAGTGCATAAGCAGGGGAGGGGCAGAGAGAGAGGGGGGAGCAGAGGATCCGAAGCAGGCTCCAGGCTCTGTGCTGACAGCAGTGAGCCCATGTGGGGCTCAAACTCACGAACCATGAGATCATGACCTGAACCGAAGTTGGACGCTCAATTGACTGAGTCACCCAGGCACCCCACTTACTGGTATTTTAAAAAGAAATTCCACTTCCATTTAAGATAACTTAGTATGGTGTCACTTAAGCCTTGGCCCTCTATATTTTCTCATTACCGGTGTTCCTCTTTCCCATATCATCTGGAAAGCTAACAGTTTCTTTTGTTTCCTTTCTTTTTATCTAGAAGGCTGAGAACATTACATGGGACCTGCTCCCAGGATGTGGAGCCTGAGGTGGGACAGTTTAGTTCAGAAGGCCCAAAGAGGGTGGGTTTGCAGTACTTTGTTGTTCCGATTCAGCTCCTTGGCCACAGTGAGGCTTCTGGTTGACCCTCTGAGGTTTCCTAAAGGAGACTTAGCAGTGAGGGGTTGGGTGAAGAGTTGGGCTTGCCTACTTCTTACCAGGTCAGCGGGAGCTCAGGTGTCTGATCAGTTCCTTTATGACCTGTCCACCATCCTTGCTTCTCTACTTCAGATATTAGTTGTGGGATCAAGTGAGCTAGAGTTTGATACCTACTCCACCACTTTGGGGAAGTTACTCAACTTCTTGGAACCTAAGTTCCCTGGACTGCAAAGTGAGGATAAATAATAACTGTGCTCTCCTGCTTTACGAGACAGTTGGAAGCTCACAGTTGGGGCAGTGGACCAGGCTATATCCGAGGTTCCTGACATGAGGGGAGGAAGTCTGGGCCTCCTAGACAGTGGGGAGGGAATCCACGGCCAGCCACTTGCTAGCTGTGTGACCTCTGTCAGATCTCCTCCAGTTCTGTTTCTTCTTCAGTAAACTGAGGATTCCAGGTAACTCACAGACTCTGTGTAAGTTTATGTGTTCCTTTAAGCCTCTGTCACAACTGCCTCCTAACCAGTCTTCCTGCTTCCCTTCTTGCCTCACCAGTGACTGAAACACAGTCGGACCCCACACATCATACCCTTGCTTAAAACTTTCCACTGGTTTCTTAACGCCTTTTTAGAGTTTGTCTTGAAGCCCTCTGGTTAGCATGGGAAGCTGCCTGTCCTAGGAAACCCTTTGCTGGTTGGTCACACTGCAAGTGCAGTAGGGCAACTGATGTCCCCATCCACTTCCTAGTGCTCACCTGTCACCACTCACCTCTGGCCACTGCCACTTGTCTGCACATTGGAAAGAGCATTCAGCACAATGCTGATGCCCTGGCCCTCCCTTTTGAGGGTGAGTGTCATTGTTTGGAGTGGTGTCTGAGAGTAGGTGTCTATGTAAAGCTCTCCAGTGGTTCTAAACACAGCCAAAGATGGAAACCACTGCTCTGTTCTTGTAGGTCTCCGGACACCCCACATGCTGTTCCCTATGCTGGAGCTGACCTTCCCCTTGATTTTTTCTCTTGGCTAATTCCTTATCCTCATCCTACTCAGGAGTTCCTTCCTCCAGGCAGCCCTCCTATGCCCCTCCAGGTAGACTTAGCTACTGATGGACTCTCAGACTACCCTGGGCTTGCTTTCATCAGAACCCAGTAATTCTGTATTATGGTTGGTGTACTCCAACCCTCTCTTTATTAGGTCTAGAGCTTCAGAAAAAAGTTTATCTTTCCTCCTTGTATCCCTGGAGCCAGCAGGCTCTGGCACATTACAGGCTCTCGGTAAGTATTCGGTGAACAAATTAATCAAGACAAGGCCATTTGACCTCTCGTGAGTTATATTCTAAGAAACAAACATTGACACAATAACCCTAGTGTATTATAGGAACAAGAAGTTAAGGAAAAATCAGATCCCAGTGTAGCCTAATACCTTAACAAATCTATAAAAGTGAACAAGTCCCAGTGTTCAAATTAAAAGAAATTCTTAGTGCTTTTTTGTGGGTAATTAGTTTTGTCTCTTCCGGGGGAGAAAAAAGACCTATTAGGAAATTCTCCCCCACCCACATTACCTGTCAAAACTGTAACTGGAAATGATTTTCCTGACTAAATCATTTTGGCTCTTTCTTTTATTTTCTTTCTTCCTCCTTGTTCTAATCCTTCAGCTGGCCATCATTGTGTGTTTGCAGAGAGGCAGGAAGGTTCGCCACTAGGACTGTTTCTCTCTCTCTTTAAAACTCTTTTATCGGCTTGCTTTCTGATCTTCAAAGCAGCCTGTATCCAATGTGACCCCACTCCCTTGCCTCCCCATGCTGAGGAGTGAGAGCTGTGAGTATTTTTGTCACTTTAAAGGCTTGCATTATTTGGACAGCCTTGGACAGCCGAGTAGTGCAGCCCTCACTAAATCTGGAGGGATGAGAGCAAGTCAGCGTTTGTAGGCCCTCTTTACCCACAAATCTAGACACAGTGAAAAATTGACACCAGACCTCACAGTTAAGCAGACAGTAAGTTCATAGATCTCCTTGCGTTTGACCCATCCCTTGGGGCAGCAGCCCTTACCCTCTGCCCTTTTTTGCAGTTGAGACTTTTCTGTTGGTGTTCTTCAAATGCTCTCAACTTTTGTGATTATCTGCAGTGCTTGATCCTGGATAAGTTTGAAAGCTATGATGATGAAATTCAGCTCACTCAACGAGCCCTGTCTCTGCTGGAGGAAAACAGGTTCTGGGCTGGTGTCGTGTTCCCTGACATGTATCCCTGGACCAGTGCCCTGCCACCCCACGTGAAGTACAAGATCCGGATGGACATAGATGTGGTGGAGAAAACCAATAAGATCAAGGACAGGTGATGTTTCAGGCAACCTTGAAGGCCCTACATATCCGCAGGAATGTAAGGGCAAGGAGCATCTCCTCCTAGGGACAGGAGGGTTACTTGGATAGGCACAGAAACACTTTGGCACCAGAGAACTAAGCTAACTAACTAGTTGGCCCTGTTAGTTGGTGGGACCAGGAGAGCTCAGTTACCCTGTCATCACCAACAACCCCCACCCCACCCCACCAACTCAGCACTTGTCCCCAGCTGGCCTTTGTGCAATGTGGAGATGGAAACCTCTAGGGATTGAATTATCTTCACATAGAGATTCTACAAATAAGGTTTCTCCAAAGTCACTGGGAAATTACATTTGAATACAGAGTGAGGGATTGAGACTGGACTGAGGCTAAAAATAAAATTAAGAGGAGGTAAGATATTTCATAAAGCACAATGTAGTGTCCTTGAATGAAAGCAATTACAAGTCTTTTTGTGGCTGATATTTGTAACAGATTTAAACTGTGAATTAGAGAATAGAGTCAGATAGTTTGGAAATTTTTATGGGTGAGATTTCAAGAGAATGAGTTCCAAGTCCCCTTGTGCTTATGAAGCGTCAGTGAGCTGTCCATTTCCATTTACATCCTTTGTCCCTCCCGTTTGTTTCTTTGTAGGTACTGGGATTCTGGTCCCAGAGCCGATCCTGTGGAAGATTTCCGATACATCTGGGGAGGGTTTGCCTATCTGCAGGACATGATCGAACAGGGGATCACAAGGAGTCAGGCGCAGGTTGACGTTCCAGTTGGAATCTATCTCCAGCAGATGCCTTATCCCTGCTTTGTGGATGACTCGTGAGTCACGGGCTCCCAATCTCCCTCCCAGACACACTAATCAGGTTGCTGGGGTGGGATGGGAGTACTCCTCAGACTTCAGTCTGTTTGGAAAGAAACCCAGAGAGTGGGGCCGGCTTGAAGAGAATAGAGCTCTAACTGAGGAGCTGGGTTCTCCTAGACTCCAGGCAGGGCCAGATGGTCAAATGAAGTGGCAGGGAGAAAGGAGTTGGTGTTGTGGGTGGAAAAGGGAAGGTGAAAATAAAAGCAAGGGAAGTGAGGTTGGGGAAGGGGACAAAGGCTTTTTAAATTTCCACTACGTAGTATGTTTGGTATGTGGAAGAGTTCTGGTCAGAGTGTTTCCCCAATGATTGCCAAATCAGCAAATTGGGACTCTGCATTGCAAGTAGGTCTGGTTCCTAGGAGCCTCAGAATAATGCAGCTCCTTCCTTAATTAACATTCCCATGCTGCATGCTTAATGAGAATGTAGAGGAATGTGTTGGATGAGCTGGAACCCTCCCTTCCTGCCCACCCCTATCCCCACCCCCAGGACTCTACATTTGTTGGCCAATAGCAAGCTAAGCAAGTAGCCTATTATTTACTGAAGGTGTATTTGGGGGATGATAGAGGGACAAAGAGGAAGAGGACACTAGGAGGCCTCATTTACCATGGTGGATGGGGGCAGAAATGCTTCCAGGACAGCAGCAGAGACCTACAATTAGCTTAGGATTCAACTCCTAGAAAAGAAAAAAGAAAAAAACTAGCAAGTTCACCATAGTGCACATTGTGTCTGTGGGGTTCAGAGAGGAGACAAACACACACAGCCTGAAAAAAGGAACAGTCAAATTGCTACCTGACAAGACAGTAAGATAAAGCCCAGTATGGGCACAGGAAATGCTCTCTCAGCACCCTAGTCCAGTTGGTTCTCCTTCCTCAGCTCAACACAAGACTAAAGAGATAATGATGTCTGTTCTGTAGTCACTATGGTTTCGAATAATAGACGGAGATGGGATGTGGAGCCACGGGCAAAAGCGGGGTTCCACTTTTAGGATCAGAATGGGAGTGGCTGGCAGGGTAGTGGGGTACACAATGAGGAGGCAGTAGGGATTCTGGCCATTTAGAGTGGGAGAGCCCTCTGGTGGCAGGTCCCCAAAGTGCAGGCTTCATGAATTTCTGGTTCTGTCCTTAGGGCCATCTTGAGAAAGAACCCTCCCATACTGGAATTGGTCCCTTCCTTTGACAACCAACAGTTTTCAACAGATAATAGTCTTAAGGGCTTTCCTAGCACATCAAGCGCAGGCAAAATATGTGTAAAGTTCACAATAAAATAATTCCAGAATATCAAATCTATCCTGCTTGCTAGAATGAATATCCATGGAATTATTCCACTGGTACATGGCTGGTGGAGTTAGTGGCTATTGGATTACTGATTGATTTATTGATGGGTCATTTGCCTTCTGAAAGTGTCACACTGGTGGTACTGGTTTTTTTGTGCCTCTTCCTGCTTAATTGGGGTTTGATCCTCTGGGATATATAGTGCTAAGCTGCCTGACCTGTTTGGGGGGCCCAGTTATGGATCTCACCACCAACACCAAGTCCCTTTGTTTGTGGTTCACCTTCTTGGACTTCAGTGTCAGCATGTATCTATTCCAGTCACAACTGCATCAACAGGTTTGTAGTTTTTTCCCACAAGAATTTACAAGGTCTGTACTGTGTAACATACATAGTACAATTTTATTTACACATATTACTTGTAGAGCATTCATCTGGGCTAACCAAAAAGCTACCATCTTGCTCTAAGGAAAAAGTAATTCTTTCGGGGCAAAGTGCAATGCAGTAAAAGATTCATGCCTTTTGAATGCCCAGTGGGGATTTTCTGCCTTTCCCTACATCTGGGCTTTGTTCTCAACACATTCATTTGACAAACATTTAGTCCACCTCTACCAGGTACAGGGCATTCTACTATTCTGCTTCTCTCCTCTTGCTTCAGTTTTATGATCATCCTGAACCGCTGTTTCCCTATCTTCATGGTGCTGGCCTGGATCTACTCTGTCTCCATGACTGTAAAGAGCATCGTCTTGGAGAAGGAGTTGCGACTGAAGGAGACCTTGAAAAATCAGGGTGTCTCCAATGCAGTGATTTGGTCTACCTGGTTCCTGGACAGCTTCTCTATCATGTCAATGAGCATCTTCCTTCTGACCACATTCATCATGGTAAGCCAGATGGAGAAGGTCCAGGAAATCTTGAATAGTTTTGTACTTCCCACCTTTCCTCCTATTAATGAACTCATGCCTACATCAGTCATCTGGCCAGCAAGGATAGCCTGATATGTAGCTGCCCGCCCATTTTAGCCAAAGTGGCCATATGCAGCTGCCTGGTGATTTCAGCCAAGGTGGAAAATACTCAGATAAAATGTCCCCCCAAGGAACCTCTGTATCATACTGTGTTCCCTGCTCCCACTTTCTGCCCAGTGTGCTACAGTCTGCATAGACTATCTAACCCCATTCCATGGACTATCTGGAGAAGCTGCCGTTAGGAGAGCCCAGCACAGAGTGATTGTATGTGCAAAGGGTTCTATCTTTGCAGACACAGAAGAAATGAGTACAAAGAATGTTTTCCTGGGATTACTGCCCTAGCCAGCAGCTGGAGTTGGAATGTGAAGAGCCTTTTCAGTGTATTAGGAGAGAAGACCTGGACTGTTTAATTACCGTCATGGTGACACCATTCATGGCTTGGTCAGAGGACATTCTGCTGCCTGAACAGTCTCCAAGACCACTCTGTTTCGAAGGATGGAATTTAGAGTCTGTCCTTTCTCCATGGTAGGAGTATTTATAGCTGCAGACAGCACACATAGGTCCATCCTCTGCAAGCTTGCAGCTCCCTCACAGGCCAGACTTGGAAATAAAACAGTATTTCATAATATATTCTTATCCTTCATTTGCAGTTCCTCCACAGCAGATGATCTTCTGTACTTGTTAGGTGATAACCTCATAAATTTGGGTAGTTTTTTAAAATGTTTATTAGATGGGATTTGGTATAAACTTCAAGCTTGGTGTTATCAAGCTTGTTCTGCCTCCCTAGCGTTGTCACATTAAGCGCCCCTCTGCAGTAGGCAACATGTATGCTGAACCATAGATTCTGGCTGTGTCCCATCCCATGCTGGATCATACTGGTGTCAACCTGATCCAGGAATATTCCATCATATATCCTGTCCATCCAGCAGATATTCAGTTAAACCAAATCCTATCCCTTCTCTTTGCAGTAAAATGTACTAATTCTGAAGGGTTTTGTTTTCAGTGTTGCACTGAGATTCAGTGTGCTCTGTGACCTTAGTCAAACCCAGTGCTAGAGCCCTGTCAAAATTCTGATGTAGAGGTCATTCTGCTCAGGCAACCTCGCTTTAAATTGGTGGCTTTAAATGTGCAGAGTCCTGGAGCTCCACAAAGAGGAGGGGAGAAGCTAAGCTCCTTATCTTCCTCTAGTGGTCCCTTGTTCCTTCCCATCCTTCAGTCTGCTCCTTTTCCCATTTCCAAGGCATTTTGTGTCCTCAGAATTAAAGGAGTCAAAATGCATAAGCGTCAGACTTAGGCAAAATGGATAAACGTGTGTGTTTTCCTGCAATGTCTGAGAAGTGACATTGAGATCTGCCTTCCTAAGAATGGGCATTAAGACTTCAAAGCTTTTAGGACGTGAGGTGAAGAATGTTCACTAAGAGTTTCTTGCACAAAGAGGTTTCTCCTTGTGGGAACCAGAACATTGTTCCAGTGATGACGGAAACAGAGCTTTCCACACCAGAATAGGATTCCTTAGGATGACGCTCCCATCTTTGCCTTGTTCTTCCTTCCCACCTCAACTCTGCAGGAAAGAATCTGGAAGCTGGACAATGGGGCGGGTTCCACTGTTATTCAGGCTATTAGGAACAAAGAAGAACAGTGGTCATTAGAGGAAGCTAAGGCCTGTAAGTCTGTTGGGTCAGCCAAGTAGCTGTCCCCTCTGCCTTGTCAGTGAGAGACTACACAGGTCTGGAAGTTTCTAGGACTTTGCTTTGAGCTGGGGTAAGAAACTGATTTTATTCTTCTGAAAATACCAGCAACCATCTTAAAGTTCTTCCAGCCATAGCCACATGTTCAGCCATGGACTTGCTTTTCCTGAGTTGTGTGATTAAGGAAAAGGACTGCGCTTTCCAGGTGATGTGGGGAGCTCTTTGACACACAAAATCAGGAGCTCTGAGTCCTAATTTTGACTTTCATTTAGAGTTCCTAGGAGTTTTGTTCTAGTTAGGCATAGCCCTCTTCCACCCTCCTTTGCCATTTGTTTTATTCTATTTTTTAATCTGTTCTGTTGTGCCTGGCAGGCACAAGTGTGTGAATGAGGGAGAATCGGTAGCAATAGCAGCTAAGTGGCGCATCTGTGTTCCACTCAACTTCCACACACTCACACATTGCTCATTGTCTCTCTTTCCTATGAGGAATCTGGTGCTTCAGGGCACCACTACCACTTGATCAGAACCCATTCAAGAGATGAACCTATTTGTGCCTTTATGCTCCCGAGAAAAGAACAAGACAATCTATATGTATTTGGAGTTATGTGCAAAGCGTAAAATTCCTCATAGGAGGTCTATAGTAAAGGAGAACTAAGAAAGCCTAATAAGCGTGAACATCTCAGTTTTTCCTATAATGTGGTTGGGCAACAGCTCACTTACTGAAAATTGCTGATTTGGTCCTGATTTCTACATAGCCATTAGTTAATGTTAAAGATACTGAGTATTTGCCCACGGGTTCTATGAAATGTATTTGGATGATATTGTTGGAGGAGGACGATTAATCCACTTCCAAGTGATGTGGATTAATTACTGATATTTTTACCAGTGTGAGTAGTAAATCTCAGAATACACATGATTGAGTCAGCAGGTTAGGCCCCAAGCAAAACATTACAGCTTGCTGGGGGCTCTCCTATCTCCCTTTCTTGTCCCTCATCTCCTCAGTGTATCTTGGAGCTCTTGATGTTCTAAGATCTTCCTCCCCTAGACTTCCTCCTCTAGACTTATTTCTCCCTTCCCATCAAAGATTTGCTTACTTAACACATAATAATTACTCATACTGATAGGCAGCCTGATGTGTTACCCTCCCAGGGAGAATGACACTCACAGGATTAAAGGAATTCAACACACTGAGTCTCAAATGTGGAAATTTAGGCACCAGTCAAAGATGGTGGAGAGACCACTCTGGAGCAGAGGGCTTCTGAAGGCCCAGAATCGCTGCACAGAGGTTGCCCCCTGAGAGGGATGGTGCCGTGGACATGGGTGGAAATTACTGACTCAGATGGCCTCTTTGGTTTCAGCATGGAAGGATCCTACATTACAGCAATCCATTCATCCTCTTCCTGTTCCTGTTGGCCTTCTCCACTGCTACGATCATGCAGTGCTTCCTGCTCAGCACCTTCTTCTCCAGGGCCAGCCTGGCAGCAGCCTGTAGTGGTGTCATCTACTTCACCCTCTACCTGCCACACATTCTCTGCTTCGCCTGGCAGGACCGAATGACGGCTGATCTGAAGATGGCTGTGGTGAGGGACCTTGGGCTTACTCCTAATATATGATACATTTTCTTTGAGGGGTCTGTAGTGGTCCTGGAAAATGGGCCTGCCCTTTGAGGGGATCTGCTTTGCCTTTTGGCTCAAAGGGAAGTAAGGTTTAAAGACACAGGGGCAAAAGTTGGAGCAGTCTTCACCCTGAGCTACC